GTGCTGTAAAGGTGCAAACATCGGCGGCCCAGAGATGAACGTCCAATTGTCACTCGAGCAAGGCGCTCGGAGCATCATTCGACCCCGTGGGCATTCATGCTCGAGATTCCCTGAGATTAACTCTGAGGTTTGCTTCGCTGATGAGCTCCGTGAGAAAACAAACGAAACACAACCCTCGAGTCTCAAGACTTGTTTCGCGAGGGTGGCTTTGAGAGTGTCTAACTGAGTGGGTAAGGATAAGAAAGCCCGAATCGAGACCTCAGCCACGATCCGTCTCCACCACTCGAGACCTCCACGTCACTCAACCAGCGGCGTTCAAAGGAGGCATCGCCGGAGCCGTAGACTCCGCCGCTTGTGACGCTATATCTGGCTCATCCCACCTCAATGTGAATGTAGAGTTGTTGTCGCAGCAACATCTCCTGGGGTCTCCCACTACACTCACTGGGAGACACCGCTGGGTCTTCCACTACACCCACTGGGCTACACCGCTGGGGTCTCCCACTACACCCACTGGGAGACACCGCTGGGGTCTCCACTACACCCACTGGAGACACCGCTGGGGTCTCCCACTACACCCACTGGGAGACACCGCTGGGGTCTCCACTACACCCACTGGGAGACACCGCTGGGGTCTCCACTACACCCACTGGGAGACACCGCTGGGGTCTCCACTACACCCACTGGGAGACACCGCTGGGGTCTCCACTACACCCACTGGGCTACACCGCTGGGGTCTTCCACTACACCCACTGGGAGACACCGCTGGGGTCTCCACACCCACTGGGAGACACCGCTGGGGTCTCCACTACACCCACTGGGAGACACCGCTGGGTCTCCCACTACACCCACTGGGAGACACCGCTGGGGTCTCCACTACACCCACTGGGAGACACCGCTGGGGTCTCCCACTACACCCACTGGGAGACACCGCTGGGTCTCCACTACACCCACTGGGAGACACCGCTGGGTCTCCCACTACACCCACTGGGAGACACCGCTGGGGTCTCCACTACACCCACTGGGAGACACCGCTGGGGTCTCCCACTACACCACACTGGGAGACACCGCTGGGTCTCCACTACACCCACTGGGAGACACCGCTGGGTCTCCCACTACACCCTGGGCCACACCGCTGGGGTCTCCACTACACCCACTGGGAACACCGCTGGGGTCTCCCACTACACCCACTGGGCCACACCGCTGGGTCTCCACTACACCCACTGGGAGACACCGCTGGGGTCTCCACTACACCCACTGGGCCACACCGCTGGGGTCTCCCACTACACCCACTGGGAGACACCGCTGGGTCTCTCACTACACCCACTGGGAGACACCGCTGGGTCTCTCACTACACCCTGGGAGACACCGCTGGGTCTCTCACTACATCCACTGGGAGACACCGCTGGGTCTCTCACTACACCCACTGGGAGACACCGCTGGTCTCCCACTACACCCACTGGGCTACACCGCTGGGGTCTCCACTACACCCACTGGGAACACCGCTGGGTCTCTCACATCTACTCCATAAACCCGCTGGCTACACCGCTGGGTCGTCTCTCATACACCCACTGGCCACACCGCTGGGTCCCTAACCCACTGGGAGACACCGCTGGGGTTCTCCTACACCCCTGGGTGACACCGCTGGGTCCCACTACACCCACTGGCTACACCGCTGGGGTCTCTCACTACACCCACTGGCCACACCGCTGGGGTCCCCACTACACCCACTGGAGACACCCTGGGGTCTCTCACTACACCCACTGGGTGACACCGCTGGGTCCCCACTACACCCACTGGGAGACACCGCTGGGTCTCCACTACACCCACTGGGACACCGCTGGGGTCTCACTACACCCACTGGGAGACACCGCTGGGTCTCCACTACACCCACTGGGACACCGCTGGTCTCCCCTACACCCACTGGGAGACACCGCTGGGTCTCCACTCACCCACTGGGAGACACCGCTGGGTCTCCACTACACCCACTGGGAGACACCGCTGCTCTCACTACACCCACTGGGCTACACCGCTGGGTCTCTCACTACACCCACTGGGAGACACCGCTGGGTCTCCACTACACCCCTGGGAGACACCGCTGGGTCTCTCACTACACCCACTGGCTACACCGTGGGGTCTCTCACTACACCCACTGGGACACCGCTGGGTCCCCACTACACCCACTGGGAGACACCGCTGGGTCTCCCACTACACCCACTGGGACACCGCTGGGGTCTCCACTACACCTACTGGGAGACACCGCTGGGGTCTCCACTACACCCACTGGAGACACCGCTGGGTCTCCCTACACCCTGGAGACACCGCTGGGGTCTCCCACTACACCCACTGGCACCGCTGGGGTCTCCACTACACCCACTGGGAGACACCGCTGGGTCTCCCACTACCCCACTGGCTACACCGCTGGGTCTCCCACTACACCCACTGGGAGACACCGCTGGGGTCTCTCACTACACCCACTGGGAGACACCGCTGGGGTCTCCACTACACCCACTGGAGACACCGCTGGGGTCTCCCACGACCCCACTGGGAGACACCGCTGGGTCTCCACTACACCCACTGGGAGCACCGCTGGGGTCTCCACTACACCCACTGGGCTACACCGCTGGGGTCTCTCACTACACCCACTGGGACACCGCTGGGGTCTCCACTACACCCACTGGGAGACACCGCTGGGGTCTCCACTACACCCACTGGGCTACACCGCTGGGGTCTCTCACTACACCCACTGGAGACACCGCTGGGGTCTCCACTACACCCACTGGGAGACACCGCTGGGGTCTCCACTACACCCACTGAGACACCGCTGGGGTCTCCCACACCCACTGGGAGACACCGCTGGGGTCTCCACTACACCCACTGGGAGACACCGCTGGGGTCTCCACTACACCCACTGGGAGACACCGCTGGGGTCTCCCACGACACCCACTGGGAGACACCGATGGGTCTCCTACCTACCTACACCCACTGGGAGACACCGCTGGGTCTAACCCTAACCCTAGGGTTAGGGTTAGGGCTGCAGAGGTTGGTCGCTGGAGACACCAAACGAGGGATGGGTTGCAGGACAATATGTAAATTTTATATTTAAAAAATAAAGACTTATTGCGATTTCATAAATCGTGGAAAATTATAGTCGAGATTAAATCCAGCAGGAATGAATTCAAAATAAGTTACTTTTTTGACTGTGGTGGCTGTCTTAGGACAACTACAATGTTGCAGAATTGTGGATGCTGTTTAAAAAATAACGAACTGCCCCCCAATGCTTTCATAGCAGGGCGGTGGGAAGCGGAGCAAATCCATTCTGTAAAGTGGCAGACTCTACGAATCTCGTACAAATAACACAAACGCGAGGCTAGACGGGAGATCTTTGTCTTTGTACCAGAGGAGAGCTCCACTCCCACACGATTATCATCAGCAGGGCAATATCAGTGGTGTGTGTGTGTAGGTGGTGAGTGTGTGGGTGGTGAGTGTGTAGGTGGTGAGTGTGTGGGTGGTGAGTGTGTGAGTGGTGAGTTAGTGGGTGGTGAGTGTGTGGGTGGTGAGTGTGTGGGTGGTGAGTGTGTGGGTGGTGAGTGTGGGGGTGGTGAGTGTGTGGGTGGTGAGTGTGTGGGTGGTGAGTGAGTGGGTGGTGCGTGCGTGGGTGGTGAGTGTGTGGGTGGTGAGTGTGTGGGTGGGGAGTGTGTGGGTGGTGAGTGTGTGGGTGAGTGAGTGTGTGGGTGGTGAGTGTGTGGGTGGTGAGTGTGTGGGTGGTGAGTGAGTGAGTGGGGAGTGTGTGGGTGGTGAGTGTGTGGGTGGTGAGTGTGTGGGTGAGTGAGTGTGTGGGTGGTGAGTGTGTAGGTGGCGAGTGTGTGTGTAGGTGGTGTGTAGGTGGTGAGTGTGTGGGTGGTGAGTGTGTGGGTGGTGAGTGTGTGGGTGGTGAGTGAGTGGGTGGTGAGTGCGTGGGTGGTGAGTGCGTGGGTGAGTGAGTGTGTGGGTGGTGAGTGTGTGGGTGGTGAGTGAGTGGGTGGGGAGTGTGTGGGTGGTGAGTGTGTGGGTGGTGAGTGTGTGGCTGAGTGAGTGTGTGGGTGGTGAGTGTGTAGGTGGCGAGTGTGTGTGTGGTGAGTGCACGGGTGGTGAGTGCGTGGGTGGTGAGTGCGTGAGTGGTGAGTGAGTGGGTGGTGAGTGTGTAGGTGGTGAGTGTGTAGGTGGTGACTGTGTAGGTGGTGAGTGCGCGGGTGGTGAGTGCGTGGGTGGTGAGTGCGTGGGTGGTGAGTGCGTGAGTGGTGAGTGAGTGGGTGGTGAGTGTGTAGGTGGTGAGTGTGTAGGTGGTGAGTGAGTGGGTGGTGAGTGTGTGGGTGGTGAGTGGGTGGTGAGTGTGTGGGTGGGGAGTGTGTGGGTGGTCAGTGTGTAGGTGAGTGTGTGGGTGGTGAGTGTGTAGGTGGTGAGTGTAGTGGGTGGTGAGTGTGTGGGTGGTGAGTGTGTGGGTGTGAGTGTGTGGGTGGTGAGTGAGTGGGTGGTTGAGTGAGTGTGTGGTTGGTGAGTGTGTAGGTGGTGAGTGTGTGGGTGGTGAGTGTGTGGGTGAGTAAGTGTGTGGGTGGTGAGTGTGTGGGTGGTGAGTGTGTAGGTGGTGAGTGTGTGGGTGGTGAGTGTGTGGGGTGAGTGAGTGTGTGGCTGGTGAGTGTGTGGGTGGTGATGTGTGGGTGGTGAGTGTGTAGGTGGTGAGTGTGTGGGTGGTGAGTGTGTAGGTGGTGAGTGTGTGGGTGGTGAGTGTGTAGGTGGTGAGTGTGTGGGTGGTGAGTGAGTTAGTGTGTAGGTGAGTGCGTGAGTGTGTAGGTGAGTGAGTGAGTGTGTAGGTGGTGAGTGCGTGAGTGTGTAGGTGGTGAGTGCGTGAGTGTGTAGGTGAGTGAGTGAGTCTGTAGGTGGTGAGTGCGTGAGTGTGTAGGTGAGTGAGTGAATGCTGTCTGTGAGCGCTCCCCCCCCGCCCCGCCCCCCGCCCCCAGGCGCTCTGCACGTGTCGCGGTTCACGGCGGTGGCGACGTCCGTGAACCCGGCAGTAGTCGTGGCGGTATCAGCGGCGGCTCACGACTCGCTCCCTCGCCTCCTCCGCCACCACCACAACCACCACCACACAGCACACCACCACAACCACACAGCACTCCACCACCACAACCACACAGCACACCACCACAACCACACAGCACCCCTCCAGCAGCAGCAGTCCCAGCTGGTGCGTCGCGATGCACGCCGCGCGCTTCCCCGAGTCGCTCTACACAGACGCGTGCGCGCAGCTTGAAGCGCCGCGCTTGGAAGGCGGCTGGGAGTTCTTCGTGGAGTCGTCCGGCATCAAGATCCACCGCTTCTACAGAGAGGTGCGTGCCCCTGCCCCTACTACCGCCTCCGTCTCTCTCGTTCTCTGACGCCGCGTGCACGAGACGTGCACTCGGGTCCGGGTCCTCGCGTGCGTGACCTCCGCCTGGAGCGAGCGATGCTGTCCGACCGGCCCCACCGCTTCTCGCCTCTTGTCACTTAAACACCCAGTCGTCGGCTTGTGCGACCAATAGCATCCACAATACAGGTTTTGTTGGGGGGTGGGGGTTATATCGCGTAAATCAGGCTGTCGCCTGATGAAGCTAGTTGTAATTACTGGCGAAACGTCGTACTCGGATTGTAAATGTTGTGGCTTGGCTCTCCAACACACCGGTGGTGCTGTACTAGTTTACTACACTATACACTACATTACTATACACTACACTATACACTGTACTACTATACACTACACTACTATACATTACACTATACACTACACCACTATACACTACACTATACACCAGAGGTGGGACAAAGTCATTGTTATGCAAGTCCAAGTCGAGTCTGAAGTCATCAAATTCATGACTCGAGTCTGACTCGAGTCCAAGTCACATGACTCGAGTCCACACCTCAGAGGTGGGACAAAGTCATTGTTATGCAAGTCCAAGTCGAGTCTGAAGTCATCAAATTCATGACTCGAGTCTGACTCGAGTCCAAGTCACATGACTCGAGTCCACACCTCTGCTATACACTACACCACTATACACTACACTATACACTACTATACACTATACACTACTATACACTACACTATACACTACACTACATACTAGTGCTATACTAGTGACGAATTGGCCACGTTCTGTTTACGTGACAACCCTTACTAGTTGGCTGTGTCGGGTGGTGGCGGGTTTAACGACACATTTACGCGATCTAACCCACAAACCTGGATTATGGATCATAGCTGTCAACCCATCACGGTTTAACCCCGTATTCTTGTACAGGGAAGTTGAGTTTTCAGGTCCATAGGGTGTACATCCGTTTCAACACAGGAACAAAAATGTATTTGTGTTTCTCCCTTGTGATGGGTCTCTGTAGGATGAACGTTGAGATTTATCAGGGCACGGGGTGGCCAATAAGGTCTGAATTGGTCTGTGATAAGGTAGGGCGCTGATAAGGGGTTGACAGGTATGCAATCAACCACCAGAATGTTTAATACCGAAACAGGAAGACTCTCTTCTTCACAATTCTGGTTATCGCCTGATGAAGCGGGTTGCTGTAATCACCAGCGAAACGTCACCGTCCTGAAGTAGTAACTAATTGGGCGGTAAGACATCGTCGGTGACGAGGGCCGCCACACATTTGAATCCATTGGGGGGTTTTACAGCAGCACGATGATGATGGGGATGTGAGGCTGATTGGCTCACAAGTGACGACGTCACATTTATCGCTCCTCTATTGAAGATCAACACAGGAGGAGGATTTCTCCACAACTCTGTGGCTATGGCCTGATGATGCTGGTTGTAATTATCGGCCAAACGTCACCGTACTCGAATTGTAAATGTTGTGGGTTTACTCTCCAACGCACCGGTGTGCTGTTAAAGTAACGAATTGGCACGTTCTGTTTATGTGACACAAATTACTAAATGGCTGTGTTGGGTGGTGGCGGGTTTAACGACACATATTTACGCGATCTAACCCCCAAAAAACCTTTATTATGGATAATATTGCTCGCGAAAGCTTACTCCGTGTTAAACAGAATGTTCAACTCTATCCGTCTTGTTTTGCTGCCATTTCTTAATTTGAATGATTATTTTTTTCGACTTTGCGTGGTATTCGGAGTCTTCACTCGCCTGGTTCGTGGCTGTATGAGGGGGATTTGGGTCCCTCCTAACTGTAACGACTCGACGACAAATTATATGAAGAGCCACTTTCATTTGAAAGCTTCCACAATAAGGGACCCTCGACTTCGTGCGTGTCTTCCAGCTTGTATCTTCCTCTGAACGTCCCCACTCCTCGTGCTCTACCCTTGTATATCCCTCAGCCACTTTCTCGAATGTTCCCTCACCCTATTTCCCTTAGCCAATCCCTGTCCTTCCCCTCTAACGGATCCCGACCTTCGCCGCTGGGTTTCCACTCTGTTTCTCGCCTATTCTCATTCAAAACTCTTCCTCCAATCACTTCAAAAGCCCTGCCTCCCGACCAATCCCTGTGGAGGCCTCTTTCCTCCAATCGGAGACCTCGGGCTATCTTTGAATAGCAGTTAGGCTGCACATTGCCCTGGGGTCATTTTCGGTCATTACATATATATGTCACGAGCTTTACTACCCGGCTTCGCACGAGACTTGGATTCTTGTCTTGGATTAACACACGGCCTACGCGGAGGGTGGGGAGGGGGATGCGTGACGTCAGCAGGCACACGGCGTGACGCTTCCGCATGCGGGTGACATCACAGATGTGACGTCACCGCTCATTTGCGTGCAAAATATATCCATTATTGCGCCCCCCCCCCCACCCCAAATAATAATAAAAAGTATATTTTTATACTTTTTTCATTGTGTACAGTCTGGAAGCTACCCACATGCCAAATTTCAAGTTTATTGCACGTCGGGAAGTATGCTAAACATTTCGAACAGACACACATATTCACAAATTTCCCTTTTATATATATCGATTATTGTACAGTGTTACGGGAAATGCGATGAGCACGAATGACGCTGTATAAAATGAAGTATCAGTGGTGTAACCAGCAGCATGTGTTCAACTACGGAGCTGTGGTGGCTGCATTTTGCGAAGACGAAGGTGCCCCTACAGCGTTAAATGTTCGAGACCGTGAGCGTAGTAACGAGGACGCGATGAGGGCAAGAGGAGCCGAGATGTAGAATAACCTCGGTGCGACCGTGAGAGTCAACTCAAATACTGGGGGCCCCACCTGAACGATTACCGCAACCCCTAGAGCTGATAAATGTCGTCACTACGCTACTGGAAAGTATTATTATCAATTGTCTAAAGAGTAATACAATACTCATATAATTATAATCATGGTGACGTGCAAGGCGCTGCATAGTGTTCGCTCGCTCTCGTAGAGGACGATTCAGAGACGCCAGGAGGAGGAACCAGAGACGTGAGGAAAGGCGGCAGCAGCAGCAGCAGCAGCCACGCACTGAGCTGGCGACACCAACAATTTCCCAAGCTCTGCGGTCCCCTACGTATGTTATGGTGTTATCGGCAACATTAAGAGAACACCTACGCGTGCGAGGGGGAAACCCTCTATCCCCATACAGACGAAGCAGGTGGAGTCCTCACATTTTGCCGTTACCGCCTTCTGGCGAGCCAGGACACACCGCTCCTCCTCGACACCCATGGGAAGGGAGTTTCACACAACATCTGTGCGGTGGTGACCCACCAACCCTAGCTGCTGCCTCCACAGCGGCCGGTTACGGGCAGCCATGAGCAGCAGCGTAGCCACCGCCGGCCGGCTGTACGGCGCTGTGGCAAGTCGTCAGTCGACTTTCTCAACAGATAAATTTAACACGTAGGCTTTCGCGACCAATATTATTCATAATATAGGTTTTTGGGTTGGATCGTGTTATTTCTAAATGTGTCGTAACCCTTCATCACCCGACACGGCCAAACAGTAAAAAATGTGTCACTTTTTCAAAGGACAAAATAATTCACTTCTTTAGCCCATCGGTGTGCTGTAGAAAGAATCAACAGCATGTTTTAATTTGAGTACGACGTTTCGCTGATAATTACAATCAGCTTAATTCTTGCCCGATGAAGCTGATTGTAATTATCAGCGAAACGTCGTACTCAAATTTTAAAATGCTGTTGATCCTCTCTTCAGCACACCGGTGGGCTAAAGAAGTGAATTATTTTGTCCTTTGAAAAAGTGACACATTTTTTACTGTTTGGCCGTGTCGGGTGGTGGAGGGTTACGACACATTTATAAATAACGCGATCTGACCCAAAAACCTATATTATGGATAGACTGGTCCCCGCCGTAGAAACTCGGCCATGAAAGCGCGAGCTGGTAATGGTGGTGCCGCACGAAGTGCCGCGTCGAGCACACCACAAGACAATGGCCGAGCAAGCGTCGTAACCAATCGCAGTTTGTTCGGCTCCTGGCTCGATGGTGACATTGGCGCCGTGTGAAATGTGAATCCCCACCCATCTACAGCCAACGTGGGGAAGGGGGGGGGGTGTCAGCAAGCCACGAGGAGACGTTGCATCGCGTCCTTTAAACGGCCACGGGGCTCCGTCGGCCGGGGGTGAAGGAAGGCGTGGAGGTGGGATAGTTGTGGAGAACGAGGATGGAGGCGGCGTGCGGTGGCGCAGAAGCGGACGCCGCTTGGACAATGCCGCGTCGATGCTGCCGTCACCACACAACGACCGCCACCGCCGCCGCCACCCAGCGTACAATGAAAGGGCCCGAGTCACAAACAGCGCTTCGCTCAGCAATTCCAATTGCTCTGACCGGGATCAACAAGCGCTGACGCACGCCCGTAGTGGGATGAGGCGGTGAAGCGAGGTGAACGATCCCCGTCGAGCCATGTGATCAAGCGCGCACACACGCACATGCACACACACACGCACACACACACACGCACACACACACGCACGCACACACACACACGCACACACACGCACACACACGCACACACACACGCACACACACACGCACACACACACGCACACACACACGCACACACACACCACACGCACACACACGCACACACACACGCACACACACACACGCACACACACACACGCACACACGCACACACACACGCACACACACACACGCACACACACGCACACACACACGCACACACACACGCACACACGCACACACACGCGCACAAAGACAAAGATCCCCCTTATAGCCTTAACAGAGTGTTTGGGAAAGTGCTGTTAGCGAGCACCTATGAAAGCCGGCACGTCACACGAGGGTTGCCAGCACCATGCCTGGCCGCCTTTGTTTTCCGAGTGGTAACGTTTGCACACCGTACCAGGTACTCATTTGAGGCTGAGTTTGTCTCGGTACATGTTCGTCTTGTTGATTAGCACGGTTGGCCACGAAAGACGGTCGACGTACGTGCACGCAAAGTGCAACTCCACATCTGCCCTTCGGTCAACCCCGTGGCCGTGAGCTTCTTTGAAGGGGCGCGCCACACAAACACTCTGTGAGGATGAGGGTGGAGGGGCGGGTGAGGCACGACACGGCCAACGGTAGACGAACCCTAACCGAGACGCCGAGCGCTGAGCGGCGGTGCGATCCGCCGGCGTCTGTCGCAGGCACCGCCGCCGCCGCCCCGCTGTGGACACGAGCCAATGCCGCGGTGCCAACCGCTACCTCGAATTTCCGCACCAGCGGCATTACCGGGCAGCGTGAACTTTCGAGTGTGTGGCAACGGAGCCCCGGCTCCGTGTCGGATGACCCGCGGTGGTCTCATTCCCTGGCGGGGATTATTGTGGCATCCCCGCCCCGTGCCCAACTTGCGATGGAGCAATTTGAATTCATTATGAAGAAATCTTGGGACATGAATACGGCGCCATGAATACTTAATAAAGTTCAAACGGGGCGGTCGGTGTTGGATGTTTTCGCCTCCCGCGCGCGTTTCCGTGTGGCGCGGCGGTTAGGGGGGCTGCGAGCCCGGCGACCCGAGTTCGATTCTCGCTCTCGACGAACAATGGTGGCGAATGTTGATATTTGAACCGGTTTGCGACCTTGGCCCCAGGTCGCCTCAACTCGTTAAACGAGTACCTACGGTAGGCGGTGTGTGAACATCGGCAGTGGGGAGTACAAAGGCGTGGTGCTGGCCACCCGACCACCCGGTGTGCGGCAGTGGCCTCCGTAGGTGCCGCTGCTCGTGAACGGCACTTGCCCCGACAGCCTTTCACGGGGGACCTTCTTTGGCTTTGCGTGGCAGCACTCGGGGCTCTACGAGTACAAGGTGTTTGGCGATCTCCCGGACGCCGGGCCGCAGCTCTACGCCGACGTCTACATGGACCTGCAGTACCGCAGGACCTGGGACAGTTACGTCAAAGGTGCGTGGGCCCTCGCCTTCACCGTTGGTCGTCAGCACGCCTCGGGGTCAGAGGGGGGGGCCCACGGTGGATGAGACCGCGGGAAAAGGTGAAACCGATTCCAATGGCAAGTGACGGCGAAAGCCTCAAGGGTGATTCACCGCCCCTCCGTGCGCTCGCGAGAGTTGCTCAGCCGCACATCCCAGACCTGGTCGAATGTGCGGGTGTCCGGGTAAAAAAAAAAAAAACTTGATGACCCACACACACCTGTTCGTCGTCGTGTATGTATGTATGTTGAACTTTTTTCGCACCGTACGCAGCCAATCGTGCTAAAAATAAGTAAATAAATATAAAAAACTATTTCAACTACAAACTTTTTATTTTACCAGGAAAGGCCCTCTGAGCTATACACAGGGCCGGATTAAGATTGTGTAGGCCCCTGGGCTACAGGTACTGTGAGGCCCCCAGTAATATTTTCATATGGAAAACAAGGTTAAAGAAAAATAAAATTTATTTTTACAAGGCTAACAACAAATTAAATTCAGCATTCACAAATTAAATAACTTTTCACTTCATCTCTGGAGGCCCTCCAGCTCTGGACTGCAGCCCCTAAAGCCCGTGCCTTAATCCGGCTCTGGCTATAGCTCAACGAAGTGGCTTATCACCACGTGGAAATGCATAGCAGCCAAATACTCTCAAAGCGTCACGTGGATTCTAAACGTGGAGGGAAATACCGGAGGACCCGGAGAAAAATCCACTTGACCACCACGGGGAGAAAGAGAGAATGACGTAGACTCCAAATGTACAACAGGCATTGTCAGGGTTCGGGATTGAACCCACGGCCTCCTGTATACCAGGCGAGGGAGTTAACATCTCCTAGCCACCGAGGAGACAATCTCAACCACTCTCACCCACGGCTGGGCAGTCCGGCGGGCGGGCAAATGGATGGGCCATCGATTGGACTGGACCTCGACTAGGTCATCCAACCGGGGGCTAACCGGGCTCCAACCGGCTTGGCTTCCGGGGTCTGACGAGATCAGGCACGTTCAGGGTTGAACTTTTGTCAAGGGCCCTGATATTGACGCGTGATACGATCCGATCCGCCAGGTCCACCCTGGGTTGACCGGAACACGGCCGGGCGTGCGTCGCCACCGTGCCGAGTGTGGCCGGACGGTGCCGACGGGCCCCGTGGTCGTCGTTGTCGTCGTTGTTGCGAGCGTGCGTGCGTCTGTTGTGCGCGTGGACGTGTCGCGCGTGCGCGTGCCCTGCGTGCGACAGAGCTGTACGAGAGAGACCACGCCGGGGAGAAGGTCGTCTACTGGGAGGTCAAGTATCCCTTCCCGCTCTCAAACAGAGACGTATCCTCCCTCGAACCGCATCACGGCCGCTCCTCCCCCCCCGCACCACCCCACACCCGCGGTTATTGCTGCCACGTCGATGGCATCTCCTCCGCCGTCTGCTGCTTTGGCCTTTGCCTCGGTGTCTTTTTGCCTTAAAGCGAGATGGCCAAGATGCACACCATCGTAGAGGTTTCTTTTGTTGGGGGCGGGTTCGGTCGCGTGAATACAAACGTGTCGTTAAACCCGCCACCAACAGACACGGCCAATTAGTAAGGGTTGTCAACGATAACAAAACGTGCCAATTAGTCACTACCTCAGCACACCGCTTGTGTGTTGGAGAGTAAACCCACGACATTTACAATTCGAGTACCGTGACGTTTCGCTGGTAATTACAACAACCAGCATCATCAGGCGGCAGCCAGAGTTGTGGTCTTAATGGAGTGATAAATGTGATGTCGTCACTTGTGAGCCAATCAGCTGTGACGACCAGAAGAGGGGTGAATGTATTCGTATGAATTACAATGGATATCTACTCTTGCTTGGGTTAGTTCACAATTAATGAACAGGCATAATGTATGTACATTATGTGTGTACATTACGCATGCACATTCTGACATTTACTGAACGAGTAACTAATTGGCGCGTTTTGTTTACGTGACAAACATTACTAATTGGTTGTGTCGGGTGGTGGCGGATTCAACGACACGTTTTACATTTCCGCGATTTAACCCAAAAAAAACTCTATTATTGACAATATTGGTCGCGAAAGCCAACTGCTACTACGTGTTAAAGCAAGATGCACACCTTGACAGAAATCGGAAAAACACACATATCCCCCCCCCCCCCCCCCCCCCCGGTGCCAAGTGGCTGCAATGTGAGTCATGGAAACCTCGAGATATTTTGGCAAAATTCAAACGAAAAGGTAAATGTGCGGACCGCAGCGAGGCCGGCTTGGAGTATGGTTAATTTGGTGTACGGCACTACCACCACGGTACAAGGCATGGCCTGTCCATATTAAGCCTGTATTATCAGACCCTGTATCCACGTTAATCCTGTATTATAGCTCCCTATATCCTTTTCAGCCTATGAAGACAAAGCAAGTGAAAGTAAGCACAGGAAGGGGAGAGCACAGGAAAGGGAACATTGGACACGGCGTCAGGGTCAGGGTTCAGTGTCTGTCAGGGCCGCCTAAGCGACCCGGTGCCCGATTTTCCCCGTGAGGAGCATCGCGTTCCAGCGCTTAAATCTTCCTTGACTCCGGCATTGATCCCAGAGTCCCTATCCCCCCCCACCACTGGCTGTCCGCTGCCGCCGTGCCGTGATCACAGTCATCGCTCACGCTTGGCCCATGTCAAACACTCGCAGCGAAACCATCTCCACCGAGCCCCGTGCCGATTCTCACGTTGACGACAATTGCAATAAAACATGGCCCATTTCTTTCGAGGTATTTTTTCCCCATCTCCATCTCCCTCCCTCCTTTCCCCGCGCACCTCCCATTGGCGCGGATGGCTACGTGCGGGGCGAAAGAAGTTCAACGTGCATACAGTACATGCATTGAGTGTGATGGCAGCGGCAATGCGATGCTACTGGCCGCGACGAGAGGGCTTGGGCAGAGCGAGAGAGTTCAGAGTCCGCGCCATTGTGCTCTCCCTCCTCTGTTGTAGGAGCACAGACTTGTACAGTGGTGTACTGCACGGTCCATAGCAATCATTTACAGCCCATAACACGGCTTCAAACCCATGCCGAGAGAGCTTCACCGCGGACGCCTATGGGAAGCGAGAGTCCCGTTGGGAACGCGACGGGGTAAATGCTGCCGCAGCTGCGGCTGCCGCGTGCCGGCGAAGGTGGATGTGCCGGCGGGACGCCCAGCCCGTGAGTTTCCGTGACGGCGCGAGCGCAGTACGTGTACACGCGCGAGCGGCGAGAGATCGAGGTGGGCGGCCAAACCGTGTGGGTCGTCGTCGCCAAGAGCGCCGACGTGCCGGGCATCGTGGAGAAGGCCGGAGTGGTGCGCGTCGCCGACTACCTGCAGAGCCTGGCGCTCACCAGCAACGGCAAGCACGGCACCAAGGGTACGGCCTGCTGCACCCACGGCCCGCTGCACCCACGGCCCGCTGCACCCACGGCCCGCTGCACCCACGGCCTGCTGCCACCATGGCCTGCTGCACCCACGGTGGAGATTACACTCTCCCTTGGTTAAATTTCGATTTAAACTTTCGCGACTGCAGGGATTCATATTCTTGGTTCTTTTGGTAAAGTCACGTAGAAGGGAAATAATAACAAAAATTTAAATAAAACATAATAAAATATTATAAAATAAAACATGATAAAATATTATGTTTAATAAAACATGTTTTATTTTAAAAGAATGAAATATTATTTTATTATTTCCCTTCTACGTGACTTTACCGAAAGAACCAAGAATATTCTCCCGTGGTCGTGTCGGTTTTCGCGGTTGTGCTGCTGATGCTGCATGGCTCTCTGAGGCGTCGACGTGCCGTGCCGCGTGCTGTTTGGTGCGACGTCCGACGTTTCACTCCACGTGCTGGGGAAGCGATGGATTGTGGGGTCGCCGAGACGACGTGGGTAAACTCGGGGTAGGGCGTTCTACTCCCTTGCCTCGTCCGTGGGTGTATAAGCACGGGCAGCATCGAGCAGTGGAGGCTGAAAGGTAATATCGAGCTTACAACATTTTAGAGGTTTAGTGTTGGGATAAAGATTCACTTCTATCACAATTTGATCATGGTCTTTTCTCCGAAGAATTATTCAACCAATATAATTTCTCTTAATTTTTTTATTCCCATAGTGATATCTAAACTAAACACTATAAAAAAAAATTACCAGGCCCACTGAGCTGTATAGCTCTTTTTTCAGAAGCGAACTGGCCACAATGATAGCTCAACGAGGTGGCTTGTCATGTGGAAACTTGTATCAGCCCAATAATCAGCAGCAAAATAATCTAAATGCACGTTCATTCACGACTTCCTGTACACCAGGCAAGGTAGTTAACATCTCACTACTGGAACCGGCACGGCTCTGCGTTGGTCCGATCGCCGCCGCCGCCGATGCAGTCGAGACTTTGCCAGCGTCACGGCGGCGGCGCGGTAACGCGAGCCGTCCACACGGTGCGGGGAGAACGCGACGCTGCCAACACGACGCTGCCAACGCGTGGATTCATCCTCTCCTTTGTTTGCTTCGTCTCGATGCCCCCGGCGCGTCCAACACCGCCCCTCCCCCCCCCGTTCTCCTGCGCTCTGCTCCCTGCTGCCCTTTCGCACAATTCCCCTTTGCCCGTTGCCCCTCTTGACGAACTAACCACTTCTCCGGCTACAAAGTATGAAATACAACAATGGGTTTTACCCTTTCTGGCAATAAAACAGGTGTTAAGATGTTCAAACACCAAATAGAAACCTTTTTGCAAGGAATCAAGTCTGCATTAACCACACGCACTTGTGGTGGACATGTAAACAAACATGCTCTGATAACACTGGTCTACAGCCAAAATGCTTCCGAAATAAACGTAGTCCAACTTGACTAGTTCTAGGTCATTGAGAATTAAAACAATGCTTAAAATTGTTGATTGGCTCTCGTTTTCAAGCTATGCTACTGGGGCAGTCTCTACGACCCTTCACTTGGGAATGGCGGAGGATCAGTGAGTTGTAAAGGGAAGGGATCTCAATTTAAACCAGAAATGACTAAATACATATTTGACTGGATCTATGAATAAATCTATGACTGGCTTTGGACAGTACGATTCAGGCACACATAGAGGGTCATACATGGGAATCGCCACCGGTATAGACACGACGGGACGTACATTGACCGTTACCAACAGGACTGCACTTGTCACCTCGGCTCTTCCATCGCTGCTGTACCTCTCTCACTGCCCGTGCCGTGTTTATGTATTTTTGTGTTACTTCCGCTACAACCCAACGCGGGCCCGCTGCAGAGCGCCCAGCGCAGAGAGGAGGGGGCAACAGAAATTCTGCGAGCAGCAGCAGCAGCCCGAGTTGGGTGCACGGCAGGGCATAGTGAAGGCCGGTGGGGGGGGGGGGTAGAATTGGGCTCAGTGCCCCAACCAAGGGGGGTACCACGAGCGGCGGACACGAACGTTGAGGGGGGGGGGGGGTGTCCCGAGTCTTAAAAAAAATATGTTTTCGTTGCTCTCAGCGTGATTTCTACTTCCATTCATTTCTCTCGCTGCATCCCCCAACGCCTACCTATCCCATTCTTAACTCGCTCTCTTCCAGTCGCCCTCTTCTTTTATATTTTCTCCTCTGCCACAACTGCAATTTTGTCAGCACGGATAACAAAAATAACTCTTGCGTCTCGTGTGTCCGTGCGTGCGTGCGGGTGCAGTGTTCATGCACTACTACGTCTCGTGTGTCTGTGTGTCCGTGCGTGCGTGTGGGTGCAGTGTTCATGCACTACTACGACAACCCTGGAGGCATGATCCCCAGCTGGCTCATCAACTGGGCCGCCAAGGTGAGTGCTCTCGTGCTGGGGCCACGCGGGGCCAGCGGCAACCCCTCCACGTGACCGCGAGTCATAGACGTGCCCTGCGTCTGCATCACGGCTGGCTTGCGAAAGGCAGAATTTGTGCAGTGTGAAAGTGTTTTTTTGGGTTAGATCATGCAAGTATAAATGTGTCATTAAACCCTCCACCTCCACACAGGGCCAATTAGTTTATCACTTAAAGAAAACGTGGCAATTAGTTACTACTGTGAGTAACTAATTTGCATGTTTTGTTTACGTCACAAACATGACTACGGTAATTGCCTGGATCTGGTGGTGGCGGCTTTAACGACAGATTTATATTTACGTGCTCTAACCCAAAACTCCTTTATTATGGATATTGGTCACGGAAACCGGCGTGTTAAACTTTCTGCAAGTGTGTTGAAATGTGGACGGTGCCAAGAGAATGATTTCCCACCCACCGCCGCCTCCACCCCCCACCTTCCTCCTCGTGTGGATGACTGGATCGAGACGGGAGGACGTCGCAAGTTCTATCAATCTCGGTCAAAAAAAATTCTGCGGCTGGAATGGGAGCAAGAGAATTGAAGCTCCCAGTGCCCAATGTTTTGCGTGGCACAATCAGAATGCATTTTGGACTTGTCAACGGCAATTGGTGGAGGGGGGCGTCGCAGCGGTGAGCGCAGTGCCACACGAAGCTGGAGGGGCAGAGTTCAGTTCCCAGCCACGGCTACCGTCGGTGGCAGAGTGGGTTGCTGAACCAGTCTTGCCCCACCCCACCCTCCTCACCCAGCCCTTCACCGAACCCACACGCTGACCAGCGTGGTGAAGTCCGGTCATTCAGTGTCATTTATTTGGTATAGCCCTGTGAGCCATTCGGCCCTTGAATCGGGTGCAACCGCAACAAACAAAAAACAAAAACATGAACAAGAAAACATCTGAAAGTGAATATGTCACTATGCGCAAACAGAAAATCCAAGAAAAGGCAGCAAAAGATTGCAGAAAAAGCACCGTACACCAACGCCCGTGACCGACACGGCATAGAGAGGCCTTCATCCAGCAGTGGATCGACGAATCGTTTGCCGGTTACTCACCAAATGTAACAATAATGCCTCGTCCATTGAATAATTTGTTCGATTGTCCAGCCGGTCTGTAAATCCACTGTTGGACGAGATCCTCCCGGCAGTGTGTCGGTCACGGGGGGAGGGGGGGGGCTATTTTGCCATACTTCACCAAAGCCAGTTCAGTTCGGGTCGGTGGAGGCGGGCGGCAGAGAGGCACTGGTACAACAAATCATTTTACCGCAATGCTCCCCCCATCTGGCGCTGCACGTGGGATGTTTCGTCAAAAAATTCCTTCATCCGCGAGAATCCCGAGCGACGTCGTCGTCGTCCCCCCGGACCCCCCCCCCCACCCCCCTGCGTGCTCGCACTCTCCCGGCGCGCCTTCCAGCGAGAGAAAAAAAAACGGAGCCGTCCGGAACTCCCACGGAATTTTTGGCCAGAATCGCCGAGTGTACAACGTTGCCCACCCCCCCTTCTTTTTTTTTGTGTCAGCGCGGAAAAAAAAAAAACCCTCCGGCGACCCGCTCGTCATTCATCACGGGGGGCGGAAGGGGGGGGGGGGGTCGCCGGACAAATAACACGGCGGCGGAGACGATAAGTACGGAAAGAAGCACATTTGGCGCCACTTGAAAGCGAAAGGCACCTCGCCCCTTCGAACGGCTAAATCACCCCAGCCCATCTCGCAAGCAGGGCTTTTTTCCTGTTAACAAAAGAGAATGCTTAGAATATTAAATATTTTTTCCAGTAAACACCCATCCATCAATCCTCCGCCCGCCCGCCCTGCCAACGACGCAGGCGTGCTCTCGCGTTCATCTCCCTCAAGTCCCGATAACAAACCGCACCCCGACGTCGTGCGGAGATAAAGTATATCTGCAGGAGATGGAATCGTCATCATCATAGTCAGTCCACTGCTGGATGAAGGCCACCCCAAGCCGCCGCCGCCTCCTCTCACGATCGTGCGATGTAATTCATAATCCACCCCGGTATCCGCACCCGAGCCGATTCCATCGCTCCATCTCCCTTGGCGGCCTCGTTCTCGGGCGCATTCCATCCTTTCCCTCCTTTGACTGCCACTCCGTCGTTACCCTTGACCGCCGTCCCTCCGAGCGATGTGTGTCCTGTCCCACATTGAACTTTACTTTCCTTAACCGTTCGAACGGTGTGTTGTTTAAAATTACGTGATGGTCTCCAGCACATGATGCAATAATCCACGTAGCGCACCCACGTACCATCTCGCCGGTGGCCCTGGATGGTGCACTGTCCCTCGTGAGTAATTTATTCACAATTGGTTAAAATTTTATGTAACTACCGTAATCCAGGGGGCCAGCAGCAAAACGAACGTGGGGGCCAAAGCTACGAGTTTGGGGCCTCCTTGACAAACAACCATGAGACATGTTTTCAGCAAGTGTCAAAGAACAACAACACTAAGCACGGAGCGCCCCCACAGCGTTCAGTGTCCGAGACCGTGAGCGTCACGATGATGTGATTAGGCAAGGGGAGCTGCAATATCTGCGAAAGAAGTTCAACAAACATAGATAGGTGCGACCGTGCGAGACAAATCAAAGATTGGGGCCCCCACCTTGACCGATTGCCGCGCCCCCCCCCCCCCCCCCCCCTAAGCTGATGGTGTCGTCACTAGGCCTTCGAAGGCGGTTGTCATCCTTTGATTCAAAGTCGAAGTGAAGGGTCCCGTGGCCTCGTCGCTTGAGTGCGCTATCCAACATAGCATCGCAAGAGGCCGCTCGGGGCGGGCAGTTGCTGTGGTCAGCCCTGCCAAGCAGAAGCCTTCAGCGAGTGCCGCAGTAATCCTGGCTTCGGTCACGTGCATCCTCACATTGTTGTCAAACCCAAGAAACATGAGTCTAATTGCCTTTTAAGATATCCCAAGACCAAGAATTGTAATAGGTGACAAAGCCTTTGCTGTTGCAGCACCAACATTTTGGAACAATCTTGTGTCCTCCCTTAACGTAGTGAATCTTTCTTTAAAAAAAAAACATTCTGAAGAAGAAGATTCATGTTGGTTTCCAGTCACATTTGCAGATGTGATTTGTATATTGGATCATGACCTGTGTATCGATAGTTCAATGTTAATGTGCCATTTCATTGAGGGATCGTATTATCTTTGTGTGGCCTGGGACTGTTTTATTGTTGATTTGCTGCCGTGCCCAATCTTGATAAATCGGACTTATGTATATATGACATTTTTTATGAAGGAAATTTTTGTTATTGGTAATATTTTAGTTGCGTCATTGACAAAGTGAAATTGTTTAAATATTTTTTTAACATCGTTTTCCGTGATACTGCGTTGCCAGTGGTCCACGTAATAGGTGTGTAGAGGAGTAGTGTGAGCAACCATGAGAGCGCGTACACAGGGAGGTGCGAGCGAGTTGACAGTGGAGGGTGACGTCACGTCACAGGTGCTGTAAGGGGGGCACCTTCGGGAACAAAGGCGGGGCAGAGTTAGGGGGAGGTGCTGCCTAAAGGGTACTTAAGGGGGACTCCGTAACGAAGGCGGGGTCGTTGTGGGAGCCCGGAGTAAGGATCAGCTGCAGGAGGTCTCTCCCCCGCTCGTAGCCGGACGGTGTTGGCTGAACCCCCGTCCGGGGCAGACGAGTGCGAGAGCCAAAGTGGATAGCCGAGAGCGGGGCTCCAAGTATTCAGTGAGGGTCGGCTGAGAGAGAGAGTGGTTTCTTCTCTCCTCGTTGCCGGGCGGTGTTGGATGAGCCCCTGCCCCAGCCCGAGTGAGAGAGCCCAAGAGATAGGCGAGGGTAGGACGGCATAGAGTTCGGGGGTCCAGGGTAGGGACCAAGAATAGAGAGCACCTACGGCTGGTGTGAGCTTGAGTGCTGGACGTGATAGTGCTAATAAACTTAAATCGCCCTTTTAGTAAACTCCGTCTCCACGTGGTTCTACTACACAACACGTGCATTACGGAGAGCACGTGCAAGGTGAAGATTCGTAAGAATGATTAGAGAAAGGCGAGGTAGATGGTTTTGGATATGTTAAAACAAGAGACTGAAAATGAATGTGTTTTTATTGGGAAAATTATAGGTACAATAAGCCGGGGAAGACAGAAATGTAGTTACACCATAAGGAATTTGAATAGCTGGATGCAACTGGGAGAATATAGTGCAAAGTTCTTGAGTAAATATGGAGAGAGCTGAATGGAAGGAAGGCCATGATCTCTGGCGTATTAGACATGGCACATAGAGAGATATAGACTAATATTGCCCATAGACTTACATTGTCCATAGATTCTAGATTTGATTCTAGATTTGAAGTTTTCGTGACTGCAAGGATTCATACTCTTTGGTTTTTTCGGTAAAGTCACGTAGGTAAAAAATTTAGATAAATGAAAATTTAATTAAATGCGGACTGCGACGGAATCACCCATAAAAAAAAGTATTGTCCATAGACTAAAGTTGCCCATAGACTTACATTACCTAAAGACTGACATGGCCCATAGACTTACATTGCCGAGAATGTAACAAGTCGTTGAGTAAATATCATGGGAGGAGGGAAGTGGTGCACGAGCACAGATAACGACAAGAACTCCGCGCATTCGTCACTTAACAAAACGTCGCCCCCGTTCCCTTCCAGTCCGGCGTGCCGGCGTTCCTGACGGACATGCAGAAGGCTTGCCGGGGCTACAGGGACTACTGCCAGAAGGCGGGGAAGCCGCTCTGACCTGGCCCGGTGCGCCATTTCTCCACCGGCTCTGCGAGAGCTCTCTGCGTCTCCCGTTTACCGCGGAAGACGAATCCCGGGGGCGGCTTTGTGTGTGCGTGCACGACGCGTGTAGATTTGAGTTCTTTTTTAATTAGTGCACGGTTTTTTTCAAACGGCGGCTGAAGTGTTCCTGTCCCGATAAACGTGCGTGTGCGTGTTACGGCTCCTCCGGCAGGCAAGGCTGCGTTGGCTGGGCCATGTAGCCTGCATGCCCAGCCACCGCATGCCTAAACAGCTTTTGTTCGGCCAGATCGAGGGGGTTAACTGAGCGCGGCACGAGCTAGAGAAGAGATGGAGTGATGTGGTACAGGAGGACGTGGGGCTGAGTGGACTTGCCGATGACTGGTACCAGCGGTGTCAAGATCGTTCTCTGTGGAAGAGGCTCGTGAAGGACGCTACTGGGCAGTTGGAGGCAGTCGCCCTCCAACAACAACGGAGGGCGGAGGAGCGACGCTCACAACAACGAGCGGAGCACCGGGTGGCTAAAGCACAGCAAGTTGGCACAGTAGGGGACACGGGTGGTGCATCAGCCAGTCATCTCAGTCATCTCAGTCATCTCAGTCAGTCGACCTGTGGCATCTGGGTCTGCCCCGTGACCTGCCAGCGGGCGTTCGACACTTCACGTGGCCTCAAGGTGCACATAGCCTGGCACAAGCGTCGTGGTGATTTCACCGCCACTTAGTGGCGAATGGCAGTTGTTGTTGTTACGGCTCTCTCGTTCGCGATCCGCTGGCTCGCGAAGCTTCAATGAAGGCAACCGAACGAGGCGCGCTGTGGTTCCTATGAGGGCGGACTGCGACGGAATCGCCCATCTTGCTGATATTAGCCAACCAAATGAAGGTGGGGGGGTAGGCGTGTCACATCATCACTCGATCGACGGATCAATTTGGCAATGAATCGACACGGTGATTAACCCGCAAGTTACGATGACACCCGGTATTATTGATGTTTGTGAATTACGGACCGACTGAGTGGAATCGATCCAATTAATCTCGATTAACGATCCACAATACCATATATGGGCAAACCTCTGATGGGTGATTTCATCGGGTGCACAATTGTACCGCTCTATTACAGCGCCCAGGTCTCGAGGCCGGCGTACGAATCAGGAGCGCCGTTGGGCAAGTGGCGCGGCGTGTCGCATTGTGTCGTCATCGCGTTGCAGGATGACGTCGACGTTGTTGCGAGATGACGTCACTTAAATCTGAACGTGGCCCATCGATCTCGTGCAAGGAGCCGTGCCGTCGTGATTCTTTGAGAATCCTGACCGATGGGATTCTCCCCGGCCGGTATCGGCGGCAAGATAACCGCAGCTCGATATACGAGTGTGGCCACATCGGCCGATGCAGAACGCCGCGACACCGCGGACAGAATGTCGCAAACACTTCAGATTGGATCGGCTTGAATGCTCAAAGAAAAAAAACACAACCGCGTTGCACGTTGAAAACAAGACGCGAATTGCTTTCGAATAAAAATGCAGTGTCTTTTTTTCCCCGGGTGTACATTGACATAAATGTGACACCACAAGTCGAGACAATGGCAATAAAGGTGTCTTGCGCCGTGGCACGCGTAAATACACGTCTGCATCTGTGCGCGCAAGGTCACGGCGCGTATACAACATTTGGGAAGTGGTTTATGAATGTGGGGATATACACCCATTGTATCCCACGATAATTCACGTCTGTAAATGACGAGGAAATCCATCGCATCTGAACAAAAATACTGCGGGCCGGAAAATATAGCAAACAGCACACAACGAGCAGCATCGCACGAGTTCAAAAACACTCATCCTTGTCCAGACCACCAGCTCAAACCATGACCGTACTGATGATGCCATAATGAGGGTGACACCGGTCTATTGTTGCGTCTTTGTGTCGCCGCTGCCTGGCGTTGGGATGGCCACATTGTCTCAACTCCCTCGAGTCCGTAGTCGTAAGCAACAACATCGCCACCACGCATTCAGTCGTAAGTAACAACATCGCCACCACGCATTCAGTCGTAAGCAACAACATCGCCACCACGCATTCAGTCGTAAGCAACAACATCGCCACCACGCATTCAGTCGTAAGTAACAACATCGCCCCACGCATTCAGTCGTAAGCAACAACATCGCCACCACGCATTCAGTCGTAAGCAACAACATCGCCACCACGCATTCAGTCGTAAGCAACAACATCGCCACCACGCATTCAGTCGTAAGCAACAACATCGCCACCACGCATTCAGTCGTAAGCAACAACATCGCCACCACGCATTCAGTCGTAAGCAACAACATCGCCACCACGCATTCAGTCGTAAGCAACAACATCGCCACCACGCATTCAGTCGTAAGCAACAACATCGCCACCACGCATTCAGTCGTAAGCAACAACATCGCCACCACGCATTCAGTCGTAAGCAACAACATCGCCACCACGCATTCAGTCGTAAGCAACAACATCACCACCACGCATTCAGTCGTAAGCAACAACATCGCCACCACGCATTCAGTCGTAAGCAACAACATCGCCACCACGCATTCAGTCGTAAGCAACAACATCGCCACCACGCAATCAGTCGTAAGCAACAACATCGCCACCACGCATTCAGTCGTAAGCAACAACATCGCCACCACGCATTCAGTCGTAAGCAACAACATCGCCACCACGCATTCAGTCGTAAGCAACAACATCGCCACCACGCATTCAGTCGTAAGCAACAACATCGCCACCACGCATTCAGTCGTAAGCAACAACATCGCCACCACGCATTCAGTCGTAAGCAACAACATCGCCACCACGCATTCAGTCGTAAGCAACAACATCGCCACCACGCATTCAGTCGTAAGCAACAACATCGCCACCACGCATTCAGTCGTAAGCAACAACATCGCCACCACGCATTCAGTCGTAAGCAACAACATCGCCACCACGCATTCAGTCGTAAGCAACAACATCACCACCACGCATTCAGTCGTAAGCAACAACATCGCCACCACGCATTCAGTCGTAAGCAACAACATCGCCACCACGCATTCAGTCGTAAGCAACAACATCGCCACCACGCAATCAGTCGTAAGCAACAACATCGCCACCACGCATTCAGTCGTAAGCAACAACATCGCCACCACGCATTCAGTCGTAAGCAACAACATCGCCACCACGCATTCAGTCGTAAGCAACAACATCGCCACCACGCATTCAGTCGTAAGCACACCATTAACAACATCGCCACCACGCATTCAGTCGTAAGCAACAACATCGCCACCACGCATTCAGTCGTAAGCAACAACATCGCCACCACGCATTCAGTCGTAAGCAACAACATCGCCACCACGCATTCAGTCAGTAAGCAACAACATCGCCACCACGCATTCAGTCGTAAGCAACAACATCGCCACCACGCAATTCAGTCGTAAGCAACAACATCGCCACCACGCATTCAGTCGTAAGCAACAACATCGCCACCACGCATTCAGTCGTAAGCAACAACATCGCCACCACGCATTCAGTCGTAAGCAACAACATCGCCACCACGCATTCAGTCGTAAGGCAACAACATCGCCACCACGCATTCAGTCGTAAGCAACAACATCGCCACACGCATTCAGTCGTTAAGCAACAAACATCGCCACGCATTCAGTCGAAGCAACACATCGCCACCACGCATTCAGTCGTAAGCAACAACATCGCCACCACGCATTCAGTCGTAAGTAACAACATCGCCACCACGCATTCAGTCGTAAGCAACAACATCGCCACCACGCATTCAGTCGTAAGCAACAACATCGCCACCACGCATTCAGTCGTAAGCAACAACATCGCCACCACGCATTCAGTCGTAAGCAACAACATCGCCACCACGCATTCAGTCGTAAGCAACAACATCGCCACCATACATTCAGTGCTTTCTCGAGCCGGTGTCCTGCATCAGGCCGAGCGACTTTCGTATGCGCACTGCTGCAGGTTCACACAATTGAAGGCAACTGTCTGTAAAACACGAATGGCCCGTATATATTGTAAAACATCTGTAAGGGGCCGTCCATAAATGACGTCACGCACCTGGGGGGGGGGGGTCAGATTTTTGTGACAATGTGTGACGAGGGGGTTTGAGAATGTGACGTCACATCAAAATGTGCAACTTTAAATAAATATAGAATTGTTATAACACTAATTGTTATAACACTAATTGTTATAACGACACTCCTACAACATCAGAGTGCAGCGCCATATTAAATACGCACTACAATGACAATAGTTTAAAGCGATTTGAAGCATGTTTTATTTTCAAAATGGAAATATGGTTTTGGGGGGGAGGGGGGGGGCAGAGCTTTGTGACGTCATATTTGAGGGTGGGGTCTGACTTTTGTGACTAGGGGGGGGGGGCAAAAATCGTTCAAAATCGCGTGACGTCATTAAAGACGGCCCCATATCTTCGGCTCGGTGATACATCACCGCTCCCTGTATAATTCAAGGCCTCGCACAGCGCTCGCCCCGTGTAAGCGGAGATCCTCTGCACGCGACAATCGGCTGCCGGGGATAGCCGAGCGGGGCGCATCAATCTCCGCGCGTGTGACTACAACAATACGCGCGTTTGTCTCGTGTCGTCAATTTATAATGGCATGTGAGCTCATGGTGAAGAGACGCCACAGCCACACCCAGCACTGTAAACATGTCATTACGGCAGTCCGCCCAAAGCCTGCCGTTTATTTCCTGCGTACGGAACGCCCGTGGCCGTTTCGCCTTCACCTCGCAGACATTTGCTCCGGCCCTTCACACCCCCCTCTGCCTTCCATAAACCAAAGAGAAGAGTAAAAAGAGTCGAGGAATTTACACCATTGGAACCTCCTTTGCCAGTAGCAAAATATGAAAATTGGTTTTTTACCCTTTTATCTGGCAACAAAACTGGCACCTTTTTATTTTGGCGTCATCTGCTCTAACACCATGTGAGACGAGGCTCTAAGGAAAGCTGTCTTGGGTGTGGACCAATCAATTTCAAGGACAGTGCATATCATTATCAGAGTTGTTTTTTTTTTTGCATTCCGGCCGCAGGTATTGTGGTCAATGCAAACATGACTCCTTGTAAAAAAGGTGTCAGTTTTGTTGCCAGATAAAATGGTAAAAAACCAATTATCAAGAGTCGGGGAACTCTCATGCCATGCCGAGTGCGGGGAAGGAGGGAGGGAGCCGAGTCTCGGTAAAGCAGAAGTTTCAGTGAATGGGTTTCAGGTCCAATTTCCACCGTTATCCAGAAAATGATTCGTAATGGCTTTTTGGGTTAGATGGTGCAAGTATGATGTGTGGTCGTAGAAAACTTCCTACACCTGGCACTACCATTTAATAACGATGTCGGAATCAGAATTTGTATTTATCCTGGAGGAATCTGATGAGCTATGAAGCTCTTTTTCACACATGTCCAGTAGGGGCACGGGGTCAGAAAGTTAAAACAACACAATACACACACACCATCGGAGTGCAAAAGTATAGGAAAAAGAAAGCAAATCCCTCAAAACGAATACGTAAAATAGATCAAGTATATACGGTAACATTGCATAAGTACACCAATTCCTAAGCTTGGGCAAGATTGCAAAACAGCAAGAACAGTCCCAGACCACACGAAGACGACGACACACAGTCCCCCAATAAAATTGGACGTAAAATGCTTACTATTGATACATGGATAAGGATGAAAGTTTAAATCACATTTGCAAATGCAGTTGTATTCAGAACTGATCTTCTGCTTCGGGATATTTTTTGAAGATGTACAATTTTAAAGGGGGGGGGGGGGACAGGCTTGGTCCTAAACGTTGTCCCACACACATTTGTCGTGTTAGCGGAGCGGGAGACAAGGTTCTTAAGGAGGCACCTTCTTTATTCAACACTTCAGGTTCACAGGTTCGCCCTTGCTTCGCCCAAGTCGTCTAGCCGAGTCTTGACACAACCCTGATCGTGTAACATCGACGAGGCTGACCGAGACAGCCAACAACTATCCGGCCGCGCAATATCTAGCGAAGACGACAGCGACGACGAGACGAGTCCACTTCCCAGAACCGGCAGCTCTGAGCTCCCACTCTCCGCTGCTTTTATGCTACCCAGCACGGCCTGGCTCCGCCCTGGCCGCGCCTCCCTTCTCGAACCCACTAGCAGGTTCCAGGGGCTTCCTGGCATCATCAGGCAGATGCCAGAAATCTGCCAAATTGTTAAATGTGTGTGGATTGCTCTCCCACACACCGGTGCTGCTGAAGCAGTGACACACTGGCACATTAGTTCACGCGACAGCTTTGTTACTTGGCTGTGTCGGGTGGAGGAGGGTTTACGACACACATTTTACTTGCGCCATCTGACCCAAAAAATATTTTGAAGTAATATTAGTTGCAAAAGCCCACACGTGCGAAATCCAGAAGGTGCCCGAGTGATGTGCAACAGCTGTTGCCAGCGGTGTGTGATAAGGTGTACCTTTAGAGCCAACCCCATTGAACAACCGCCATACAATCGTGAAAAATAAGACTAGGTTTTACCCTTTCGGACAATAAAATGAGTTAAGATGTTCAAATACCAAATAGATAAATTTTGCATGTTATTAGC